ATATTTCCTCAAACATTTATTATTTATTTATGGTAAAACATTCAAAATCCTTTCTTCTAGCTTTATTTGAACCCTACAGTACATTATTATCTGTAGTGCAATAGAATACCAGAACACATTTCTCTTATCAAACCATAATTAATACCCATTGACTGACCTTCCATTAACTCTTATTTAGTTTGCTTGTGCTTTATTGGGCTTTTTCTATTTGTGGACTGGTGTCTTTCATTATTTTGGAAAATTAGTAGTCATTTTCTTTAAATATTGCCTCTGTCCTTTCTCTATTTTACCTTCTAGGACTCCAGTTAACATTTATTAGAGCTCTCATTGTTTCTTCTTTGTCTCTAATTCTGTATTTTCTGTTATTTTGTCTTTTCATGCTATATTGAATGTAATTTCTTTCTCTCTTCTATTTCATTCATTCTCTCTTCAGTTGTGTCCAATCTGCCTTTAACCCATTCATTCATTGTGCTCTTTATTTTGGTTACTGTATTTTCTGGTTCTAAAAGGTCTATGTGGTTCTTTCAAAAAATGTCATGGCACTTTTTAATACATACTTGTTCCCTACATATATTTCTGTGTTTGATTTTAATTTCTTTAAGTAGGCAATGTTATTTTATGGTTGGTGCCAGACAATTCCTATATGTTAATTTTTTGTGGATTAATTTATATTTTCTATTGTTTGTATTGGTCCTTGTACAAGGTTTCTTATTTGTGTGATTGATCATTACTTGCTTTTTTTTTTTAAGTTATAAGTGGACACAACATCTTTATTTTACTTTATGTGGTGCTAAGGATTGAACCCAGTGCCTCATGCATGCTAGGCAAGTGCTCTACAACTGAGCTACAGCCCCAGCTTGATCATTACTTGCTTTTTAATATGGGTTGGCCATTGTATCTCAATATATATTTTTAGAAAGGATAATATTTATTTAGGATGTTAACACATTCCTTCAGGAAGGAAGTAATTTCTTCCTGCTTGCTTTTGCCAGGTAAGTGGGAGCATTATAAGAAAAAGTTCACATTAATCCAAGTTCAAGGCTTGACCTTTCCTGAACCACCCAGATAATGGAAGTCCATAGATGTTGGGGTTCCCTCTTAAAGTGCAGTGGAAGAGCTTCTGACTTCTCATCTTGGGCAAGTTCTGGGTTTTGATTTTTGTTCCTCCCCCTAAAGACAGACAAAAGAAAGCTAAATTTCAAAAGTTCTATCTTTCAGATTAGTAAATGCCCCAGGACTAAAATTGTTTTGAATACGGGGCTTACTCCCTAGGTTTTAGCCTCCTCAATGTTGGCCCAGGAATGCTTCACTGTATCTCAGGGGATTCACTTTGTTTCATTTTTATTTCTCCCTGCCTCCTAGATTACAGAAATCCTCTTTCCCCTTGACAATCAGAATCAATCACCCCAGCCAGCCCTGGACTCTCTTTTATGTTCTTCCCCAGTGGCATGTGGAACACAAAATGGGCCATTGACAAACTCAGCTCATGATTTAGAGAAATCGTTATTGTGCTCCCTGGTGGAAACATTCCTCCCTCAAATCCTAAAGACTAAGTCAGCCAGAGTCCACAGTTGCAGGAACAGGAAATAAACATTTTGTAAAAGAGTTATAGTTGAGATTACAAGAGACAGCACTCCTATGTTCACTTCTTGCTGTAAGAGAAATACTGTGGATTCTTGTTCAGAGCATGAAGAGTAACTATTACTGGGCGATGTAGCATTTCTTAAAAGAAGCTGGGTATGGTGGTGCACACCGTAAATCCAGCTACTCCAGAGACTAAGGCAAGAGTATCCTAATTGAAGGCCAGCCTGGGAAAATTAGTGAGAAACAAACAAAAATAACAAACAAAAAGTTTTTTTGTTAGCAGGGCATAGTGGTGCACACCTATAATCCTAGAGACTCTGGAGCCTGAGTCAAGAGGACCCCAAGTTCAAAGCAAGACTCAGGCACTTAGCAAGATCTAAACAACTTAGTGAGGCTCTATAGATAGATAGATAGATAGATAGGACTATGGATGTGAATAAGCACCCCATATTAAATCCCCAGTATCACACACTCACATACACCTACAACATAACCCTAAACGAACTGAAAGCTATTGATGCTGGGTTCATCAGCTGTTTCAAACTTTTTATTGAAATATGCACACAGAGAAGTACACAAACCTGTGTGGCTCAATTAATTTTTAAAAAAGAACAAACATGTGTAACCCTGAAACAGATGAAGAAAAAGAACATAACTCAGTAGCCAACTAATGCCCCCTCTCCTGACTTCTACCCCCATAGATTAGTGTATCTGTTTGTGTAACTTTACATAATCATACATTATGTCCTCTTTGAAGGATACTTTGCTTCTTTTGTTCAATATTGTTCTTGAGATTTATTCATGTAATTATAAAGTAATATACACTATACATACATTGATATTTTTGTCTTTGGTGTTTTGGATGGAACCCAAGACCTTGTCCATGCTAAGCACACACTCTACCACTGAGCCAAATGCTATTTAATCTATTCTACCATTGATTGGCAGCAGAGTTTCCAGTTTGGAGTTATTACAAATAATGTCGCTGTGAACATTCTCTCACGTAGTTTTCTGGTGTATGCATCAAGAATAGACTTGCCAAGTATGTTTATGTTGAGCTTTAGGGCTAGTATACTTTTTTTTTTAAAGGTTGTACCACTTTGATCTTTATTTATTTATATGTGGTTCTGAAAAATAAACCCTGTGCTTCACATAGGCTAGGCAAGCACTCTTCCACTGAGCTACAACCCAAGCCCATGGGCTAGAATACTTTTGATTCCTGCTTTGGAGTCACCTCTGATATCCCTCATCTGCATAATCATTTGGTTCCCTGGGGTAAAAAAAAGTGCACCAATGTCATCTCTGGATTATTCTTCCCAACTCCTGACACCCATTCTGAAGTTTTTGATGCTGGTACAGAGTCAGTATTGACAAATACTTCAGAATTCACTGAGCACAGTGGCACATGCGTGTAATCCCAGCAGTTCAGGAGGCTGAGGCAGGAGGATCAGCAAAATGAGCAAAAATGAGGCGCTAAGCAACTCAGTGAGACCCTCTCTCTAAACAAAATTCAAAATAGGGGTGGCTCAGTGGCCAAATGTCCCTTGAGTTCAATCCCGGTACCTACCCCCGGGGGGAAAAAAAAAACCCTCAGAACTCTGACCTTCCAAAAATGATTTTAAAGTACAATGATAGTAAGATGCATCCTGATTCGGAAATACAACAATGTGGATGGGGTATGTGTGCATCTTGGGATTGGTAGAATATGGAACATTTGGGAAATGAAAAGGACCAAGGACCAAGTCCTGGGGATCCTGGCAGGTTGAACAGGGGAGAGAGGCTGAAGGAACTGCCAGCGCAGTAGGACAGGTAATAATGCTCAGCCATGTCATGTGGATTGACAGACTCATGAGGACAGTGAATTGATCTCCAAACCTGTTGAAACGGAGATTGTGATAACTTTGTAAGCGCTGTTTTAGATAGACAGGTGAGAACAAAATCCCTATTAAATTGGGTGAAAGAGAGATTGAAAACAAGGCAACAGAGAGGGGAATATAAGCAGAAAATCTGCTTTGAAAGGGTGAAGAGAAATGAGGTGACAATCAAAAGCTGAATTGGACATAAAAAAGGGTTTTTGATTTTCTAAAAGGGGATATTAGCCATGTTTGCACTCAGATTTTCATGAATCAATAATGAAGGAGAAATGAAAGGTACAGAAGAGAGAGACATAGTTAGTAGCATCAGGCAAATTCTTCAAAACCTCAGGGAACGGAATGAGCTTAGATAGAAGTAGGAGGCAAGGGAGAGGAGGTAGGTATCAGTGAAGTTGGGTGAAGGAGCTTAGTGGTGGGAAAGTAAGGCATCTTTTGTCAGCTCGCAAAGGTCAGACCAAAAATGCCTAGATCTGGGTGTTCACGTTCCTGTCTAAAATGGACACATGTGCTTGCCTAGCAGGTGCAAGGCCACCGGGTTTGATCCCCAACCCAAGAAGTTTATCTTTGCCAGGCGGTGGCACACACCCCAAATCCAGCTTCTCAGGAGGCTGAGGCAGGAGAATCCTAAATTCAAGGACAGCCTGGGCAACTTAGTGAGACCCTGTCACCAAGTAAAAAGGACTGGGACTGTGGCTCAGCGGTAGAGCACTTGCCTAGCATGTGCGAGGTCCTGGCTTCAATCTCCAGTACCACTAAATAAATAAATAAAATAAAATAGGTACACGCTTGGGAGCACAGGTGGACTTTAGCTACTCACCAGTCCCTCCCCTGGGAGTGAGATCAACAACCTGGCTAAAGGTCAGCGAGGAAGGCGCTTGCGTTCCAAACAGCCCATCTCCGGGCCTCCCAACTTTCACTAACCCTTGCTTTCTCATTTTTGCGCTAGGTCAGACCCTCCCTCCTTTCTCCAGCTTCCCTAATTGGGAGAGGCGAGGCACCAGCTGTAGTTGCCTGGTGCGCGGGGGCCTCCAGTTGCGCCTGCGCACCGCGCACCCCATTCTCTACCCGACTTTTTCCTCCCAGCGCGGGCGGATAGAAACGAAGCTGGTCCTCCAGTGCTCGCTCTCGTGCGCGCTCACCCACGGCTTGCGCCTGCGCAGAAGGACGGGGAAACCGTGCCTCTTGCGGTCCTGGCGCTTGCGCGCAGCGGGCTCCGGGGCCTCCCGGCCTGAGGGAGAGGAACAGGGAAGATGGCGGCTGTGGTGGAGAATGTAGTCAAGCTGTGAGTGGCCGTTTCTTTCTCTTCTGGGCCGGGAGGTCTTGTAAGGGTCCCCGGAAGGGCGGTACGGGAGACAAGATGGAGAGGGGGACATGCCCGGGAACGCCACGCTGCGACTCCCAGTGGGGCTTGCCACCGGAGACTCCGGAGAAGACGTTGCGCTTCTTTGGAAACTTGTGGAGGCCCTGAGGGGGGCACTCGGGGCCCGGACCGACGGCCTCTTGCGGGGCTGGGTGGCGGGCGCTGACCAGGAGTCGCGGCTTCCGAGGTGGCGCCTGGCTGCTGGTGACTCCCGGTCCCGGCCCCGGCCCGTCTCCCCTACGCCCGGGTCGGAGGAGCCCGGCGGCCCCCTCCCCACCGCGGCCCGCGGCGCCCGGGGCCGTCCGCCCGGCCTCCCCTGCGGGGTTGGAGACCGCCGCTTGCGTGACGTTTGGGGGTCGGGGAGCGGGCACCCAGGATTAGAAATCATTCTTGGGAGGAACTGGCCGAGGAGCACGTACCGAAGGGAAGGGACTGGGGGGAGTGGGCCTTTGCGCCGTCCAGAGCCGGCAACGGGACCGAAGCCGTCCGGGGCGACTTAATAATAGCCCACGGGGCCTCGGGTGGGCATTCCCCGCACCCTAGACAGCGTCGTGCTGGTCAGTTTCGAGCAGAGTTAGTTACTGGTTGTTGGGAACACGGAGACTGGTTTTTTAGCTGCTTCCTGTAAATTAAAGGTGTTTGGGGACTTCGAGGTATTCCCAGCTGCTCTCTTCCTGGAGAACCCAAATGCATTTTCAGATGGATTGGTTCATTAATGCCCGCTGGGCAAATGATGCAAGGGTAGGAAAATCCTAGAGTTGTCTAGATGTCCAGTCAGGGCTTTTGGTTTGAATGGATGATAAGGCGAGGTTTGGAATCCATACTCAGGGACTCACAGCTTCTTATCTGTCTTTGTCAGTAAACTAAACCCCACTCTCCCAAGAGCCTTTTTTTTTTAAGGTTAAGTTGCTTCTTCCCCACTGCCTGGAGCCTTTTTCTTCTAGAATGCTTTCCCACTTCCATTAAGCTAAGTGCCTTTTCCTCTTGTGGGTTTTTTTTTTTTTTTTAAACTTGCTTTTTGCTCTATCCTGCTCTTTCAACCACCCCTCCTCCCAGCACTATTATCTTTTTGATCTGCTCACTTCAGTTTCCCCAGCTCTCTTCAGGCTGACGTTTTCCTCAATTTAGAAATGATGCTGTGGATCTACCATTTTTATAGTTATCCATCCTTATTCAGATGTTCTTTGTTTCCCTGCCTTTCTCTTTGTTGACTTTCCCCATCCCATTGTAAGGGGAGGATTTCACACAGATTTCATGATTGCCAGAAAAAGATCAAAGCTTCTAGGTTTTGAGAGTTACATGTAATGAAGCTCCTCATGTTGAAAGACTTTCTTCAATAAAATGGGTTGTCAACCTTTTCATGGAGTGTTATAAGTTACTGGTTGCCTATTTAAATAGAGTGTGGCTTTTCATTTCTCTTACAGAGCTGTGGAGATTGTGGGGGTCACCAGCCACTGACTCTTGAGTATGAATAATGAGAAAGCAGCTTTCTCTTCAGTTGTAGCTGCAGAGGACTGTGGGCCACAACTAATACCTTCTCCCACAGAACTTTTGCTTTAAGAAGGGGGCTTTTATTTCTCTTGTACCATTCTTGCCATGGAGAGAGATGCTTTTCTGAAACTTCTCTTGATTATAATGTGACTAGTTTTCTGAAAGTTGAGGGTTATGTGTTGAGGTCAGGGCTTGCTAGCTCATCTTTTCCGACTTTCATCTTGTCCTGAGAGAAAAATTTTTGTATTTGCGAATTTTCTATCCTTCCCAAATGAGATGTCAGAATTGAAAGTCTTTAAGGAGTCTTACTAGAGTAAGATACTAATGTAAAATAACCGATGGCCGACTAGTTTGGGAACTTTTCAAGTTAGGTAAGAAGATCTAGAAAATAGTGTTAGCCTGAAATTTCTTCTTATAGCAGCTCTGAGTTCATAAGAGCTCTCTCATTCTCTTATCAGACCCTCCCCCAACACATTTAAGTATTTCATTTCCAGCCCTCTAACCTAAATGATTGCTTATCCCCCCTTACTTAATAAGAGCTCTGACAGAAGAGCTCTCATCCATTCCCCCAAACCACTTCCAGCCTCCTTGCTCTGATTTTGCAGTCTTCATCCCGCCTGGCCTTTCCTTCCATTTGACTTCCAGTGTCAGTATCAATTCCCATCAGCAGAAACAAAGGAGCTGCTGCACTCAGCCTTGTTTATCCAATTTCCCTGTGTGATGAGGACGTGGCTGCCTCCTAAAGGCGAGCAAATGTGAGCCTGTTTCCTTCTCCACTTTGCTCTCCAACACAAGATTCATGTCTACCTCAAATTACAGTCATTACAGCACTTCGAATCAAGCCAGGCTGTGCTTGGTGTTACTGACTGTGTGGGGTGTTTTTTTCACTTGCTGGGAACGGGCTAAACTGTGCAATGCTCTATTGCAGCCACACAATGACAACCCACTCAGATATCAGAGCAGGATTTGTAGATGTAGCTTAAGTTACAGACAAAAGCCACGGAGCCTTACTCTTTCCAGCTTCTTAAGCCTGGTTCTCTCCCTCAGAATCCTTATAATGTTAGAGCTCATCTAGTCCAATCTCCCCAATCCACAGAAGAGCAACAGAGATCCACATAAGTTGATGAAGTGTGCACATTCATGACTTGTAGCCAAGCCAGGTCTTTTTACTCCCAAGTTCAGCCTGATGTGTCCCAGACATCTTCATGGGTAATGAAGACATGATGGGAAAGAAATCACCTCTGCCCTCAACAAAGATTGATTGAATATTGGACTGGGGGGTGTAGCTCAGTGGTAGAGCATGTGCCTACTGTGTGGGAGGCCCTAGAAGATTGATTAAATATAAAAATGAATTTTTGCAGTTAGTTTACTCTCTCAATACCAAAGTAGTTGTTAAGCCCTGAAGGACCAGAACAAGATTGATTCATTGTTCGTACTTCTTAGAACCACATAATTCCTGGCAATGTACAATTTTCCAGCTTTTTAAGGCACTTATGGATTTCCCCTTGCTTCAGCTCTTATGTTATGTCTTAGTGTACTTGTCAGTAGTGTGCTCAGTAAAAGCTTCCAGGAACTTCAGGTGTTGAGGGCCTGGAGGCCTGCAAGTTCTTATCTACTTCTTGGTTACACTAAAGGTAGCATCTTGTGACACCTCAACACTGTAACTTGCTTTTTCTTCCTAGTTATCTTCAAAATTGTTTAATATCAGTACATGAAGAGCTTCTTTTATATGGCTAAATAGTATTTCATGGGGAGCATTTTGATAAGTCCACTAGGTCTTGGTAAATTCACTTCCCCATTTGTAAGATGGGCTAGCATCTATTACTAAAGTCATGAGGGTTAAGAGAATTAGCATCTTAGCTAGCACAGGGCTGGATGTATTGAGAAGCATAAGAACATTTTATTTCTCCTTCTTTCTTTTTTCTTCAGTGCTGGGGCTTGAACCCAAGGCTTTGCACATGCTGGGCTAGTATTCCACCACTGAGCAACATCCACTAACCCCATTTCCACTTCTTGTTGGTTAAGATTTAAGTCTGATTAATTTGTAAAGTACCTTTCCTCATGATAACTTAATGAAGGGGCTTGGTTCCCAAGAAGCAGAGATGGAGACAAATAGAACTGAAGAGGTAGTCTCCCATTCTCCTGAGCCTTTTAGAAAGGCATTTGCAGGGGAGAGGATGGCTTAACACCCCATGCCCTTGCTTTTTGTCTTTCCTGCAGCCTTGGAGAGCAGTACTACAAAGATGCCATGGAGCAGTGCCACAATTACAACGCCCGCCTCTGTGCTGAGCGCAGCGTGCGCCTACCATTCTTGGACTCACAGACTGGAGTAGCCCAGAGCAACTGTTACATCTGGATGGAAAAGCGACACCGGGGTCCAGGTGAGAGTACAGACTCGGGAAGGGAACTCAGGAATGCAAGGAGGAAGAATTTCCCTTCTCTTAGGTGATGGGGTAGTTGAGAGTTCCCACACTGCTCCCTACCTGTGTATGAACATGGTCTTCCCATCATTAGAAACCAGGCAGGATGAAGCAGATGGGTTTATACCAGCACCTTTGTTTTCTGCCCTGCCAAAGTCATTATTTGGGTTTTGGAGAATGATATATTAGCCAACGCCCCTAAACTTTTTTTTTTTTTATTTTTTTTATACTGGGGATTGAACCCAAGGGTACTTAACCCCTGAGCCACATCCCCAGCCCTTTTTTTTTTTTTTTTTTTTGAGACAGTGTCTTGCTGAATTGCTTAGGGCCTTGCTAAGCTGAGGCTGGCTGGCCTCTAACTTATGATCTTTCTGCTTCAGGCTGCTAGGATTACAGGCATGGACCACCACACCTGGCTTACATCTATTTTTTTTTCCCCCTTAATATTCTGCCAACCTTGCACTCCTGCTATCAGTATTTCTCCCTTGCTGTAAAAGTCAAGGGAGCCTACTCAAGTGGAAAGTATTTAGTGTTTTCTAGGACTGGGTTAGGGCATAATTTTTGTCTTCCTTCTATAGGATTGGCCTCTGGACAGCTGTACTCCTACCCTGCCCGGCGCTGGCGGAAAAAGCGGCGAGCCCACCCACCTGAGGATCCCCGGCTTTCCTTCCCATCTATTAAACCAGGTAAGGGACACCTTGCCTGAACAGGAGCATGGTTTGCTGTATGGCAAGAGGCCTGCTAATCAGCTGTCACTACCAGGCCCTGTGCTAGGATTTGCAGAGGTTAAAATGAACTTGAGTATGATTTCTTCCTTCAGAGAATTTAGTTTAGTAATAGAGACAGGTAAACATCTAAGTTGCAAGCCAACTAGGGTGTCTTGATTCCTGGGCAGCCAGAGAATAGAAGACCATAGGTGTCCTTTTGTTGATCCTGGCACTATGTATCCTTCTGAACTTTATGTCATCCTGACCATGTTTCAGACACAGACCAGACCTTGAAGAAGGAGGGACTCATCTCTCAGGATGGCAGCAGTTTAGAGGCACTATTGCGCACTGACCCTCTGGAGAAGCGAGGCGCTCCAGATCCCCGAGTTGATGATGACAGCCTGGGCGAGTTCCCTGTGACCAACAGTCGAGCACGGAAGGTATGAGATTAACCCTATTTCTAGGAGAGCTTTTATGAAGTCCAGCCTCCTCTTCATGGGAGGAAGGAGGCATCTAGTTAGCAGAACTAAAGTAGATCAGCGGTAGAGTGCTTGTCCAGCAAACATGAGGCCCTGGATTCAATCCCCAGCACTATAAAAACAAAGCAGAAGCTGAAGCAGCCTCTTCAGTTCTATTCTTATACTCAGTGGATTCTCTGTTGCCATCTTGTCGTTCCTATTCTTTCCGTTTAAGTATGGATTTGCACTCATTCATCCTCTTTTGCACAAAAGTTTCTGTCAAAAAGTTTTTTGGCATCTGGGGTTAGATAGGTGAAGCAGACCTGGTCTCTGCCAACTGGGAAGTTAACCCTAAGTTTAGAATTAAGAAGACCTAAAGATAATGCCAGGTACCATGCTGAGTGCTTCTCCACATCCTTTCCCTTTAACCCTGTACAGCTTTATGAGGTAGGTCTGGTAATCCCCATTTCGTGGATAGGGATGCTGAGGCAAACGTGTTTTAAATTTTACCACAAAGTCACACAAGTAAGCAACAAAGTTCTCATTTAAAGTAGGTTGTGAGTGCCAGAAAGGAACTACCAACAGTGTTCTCCCATGGTAGCCAATCAGAGACAGGCATGGCAGGGAAGCTTTGTGGAGCATGACATTTAATTTGGCCAGAGATGGTGGGGAAAGGCATTCTGGGTAAGAGAACAACATGAAGTGGCACAGAGGAAGGAAAACATTGAAGGGACCAGGAGTGTAATTGTAGGGAGAGGAACAAGGCTGGTATGAGTGGGGCCAGGTCACAGGGGAGGTCTTGGGCAAGGCCATGAGTGGCCAGTCCTTTGGTGAGGGAGCTTTAAAATGTGTGCTGTTTCTGCTCATTCTAATTTTCCTGTGCTCTCAGCGGATCCTAGAACCAGATGACTTCCTGGATGACCTTGATGATGAGGACTATGAAGAAGATACTCCCAAGCGTCGGGGCAAGGGGAAGTCCAAGGTGAAAGGCCAGTGTAGGGCCTGCAGCTTGGGACAGTGTGGCCTCAGGAGGTCCAGGTTTTATTTAGTAAGGCCATCATTTTTCTTTTCTTGGCAGGGTAAGGGTGTGGGCAGTGCCCGGAAGAAGCTAGATGCTTCCATCCTGGAGGACCGGGACAAGCCCTATGCCTGTGATAGTGAGTGCCTCATGAGTGGGTGGGTAGTCCCTGGACCCAGCACCTGCTCTGGATGTCAGAGGGGGAGGGTTATGTTCTTGCCTTGAGTGGTAAAACAAGCCTGGGCTTTCATCCTGCCTGCTGACTGGTTCCCCCCAAAACCCCAGGGAGGCCTGGGCCTCTGATGATGGGTGGGACCTGCATGCTCTGGGAGAGATTTCTGCTGTCCCCTGGGATGGGGGAGTGGGGAGGACTCCAGCAGACAGGATTGGCCTCTCAGTGGGAGGCATCCAGATCTGCTGGCCCATCAGGCCAGGGTGCAGGGGGCTGGCCCTGAGGTCTTCAGTGTCTGTTCTCTTTCCTTTTGCTTTGGCTCGCCCCACTTCATGCCTCCACCCTGGAGCACCATCGCTGCTGGGGTTCTCTCTCGCTTGCTCCGCTTTCCTGCTGCTGCTGCCGCCCCGTCTCAAGTGTGTCAAGGCCTCCTCCTCATGACTTTTCTTTCTGTCTTTCAGATAGTTTCAAACAAAAGCATACCTCGAAAGCGCCCCAGAGAGGTAGCTCTCTCAACTTTTCAGACTTTTGGTTTTCCTATCCCTTTTTCCCTCCTCCCTTGTTTCTCCTGCCTTTCTCATCTCCTGTGATGCTAGTTTTGAAATGTCTGGAGTGGCATGGGGGCAGAAACCATGGAACTGCAGTTGTGCTCCACTTCTCAGAATCCTGGAAACTGCCTTTACCACTGCTTGTGACCCACAAACTTATTCCTGGGGCCCATGGGCCTAATGCATGGAGTAGCTTCAAAAGCATTTAAAGAACCCATTACAGAGAGATCCGTCTGTTCCCCCTTTCCCAACAGGTGCTCGGTGGTCAGCTAATGTTCCCACCATCCCTGCACCTCCTACTCCCATCCTCTTCATTCCTTCCGGCTGGCCCCTTAACCTTCTGGTGTCACTACTCAAGATTATAAGTTGCCTTGTGGGGATCTGCTTTCCTTGTTGGACAGACAGGGCACTGATTGGGAGTTTGTTTCAGTGTGTTTGGGGACCAGCTACCTCAGCCGGTTTAGTTGGTAGGTTGTCCCCAAAATACCCACTCCCAATCCTTTGTCCATTCAACAGGTGTGGACTCGATGGTACATGTGGGGTAGCATGAACCTCCCACATTTACTGAGGAGTGAGAGTTTGAAGTCTCTTCCTTGCCTTTCCCCTTCTTGTCATAAAGCAAGACCATAGATACTTTTCTTCCCTTTCCTAACTTGAAGCTTCCCAGACTGTTACTATTCCCAGGACAAGTAGTGATGCAACAAGGGCTGAGCCCCTGCAAAAAAGCCAACATGGAAGAGTAATAGTGACTATGCAGTTGGTTTTTAGTGAGGGAGAAGAGTGCCAGAAGTTGCAGAGCTTCAGGGACTGCTGTTCCTGACTAAAGGTGGGGGTGGGGGTTACTGTCAAGGTTTGTCCCAGAACAGAGCTGCTGGCTCAGGGGTGGTTGCCGTATGTTTCAGGGGTAGGGATGTGGCACTCTTGTATCCTAATACCTTTCCCTACAATCTTCTCACTTAGTTTGTGGAAAACGTTACAAGAATCGACCTGGCCTCAGTTACCACTATGCCCACTCTCACCTGGCTGAGGAGGAGGGTGAAGACAAGGAAGACTCCCAACCACCCACCCCTGTTTCCCAGCGATCTGAGGAGCAGAAATGTAAGCTGAGGTGTCAGAGGAGGTGGGCAAGCGGGAAGGGGAAGACTGCTTATGATTGCTCTTCGTTGCGGGGATGCTGAGCAGCTCAGCACCCTCATAAGCATCATCAGAATTCTCTCAGCCCCACGTGGTGGTGCACGCCTGTAATCCCAGCAACTCAGGAGGCTGAGGTGGGAGGATTGTGAGTTCAAAGCCAGGCTCAGGAAAAGCAAGGCACTAAGCGACTCAGTGAGACCCTGCCTCTAAATAAAATACAAAATAGGGCTGGGGAGGTGGCTCGGTTGTCGAGTGCCCCTGAGTTCAATCCCCAATACCCAGAAAAAAAATAATTCTATCTCTTTCTTTCTCTCTCTGTCTAGCCAAGAAAGGTCCTGATGGATTGGCCTTGCCCAACAACTACTGTGACTTCTGCCTAGGGGACTCAAAGATCAATAAGAAGACAGGACAACCTGAGGAGCTGGTGTCCTGTTCTGACTGTGGCCGCTCAGGTACCTCTACCACCAAGGAGAGGGCTGCCACAGCACCCATTCCCTGTGGGGCTCTTGGCCTGGTGACTTCCAGCACTATCTTAGTCAAGCAGCTCATCTCGCTTCTCCCCACATTTCCAGCCACCTGTTTCACTCACCTCCCCCTACAGGGCATCCATCTTGCCTCCAGTTCACTCCTGTGATGATGGCTGCTGTGAAGACCTACCGCTGGCAGTGCATCGAGTGCAAGTGCTGCAACCTCTGCGGCACCTCCGAGAATGACGTGCGTGTCCCACCTGCCCCAGGGTGGCTCTTCCCAGGCCTCTGCTGCTCTCCCCACAGTTCCCTACAAAGCGAGCTTTCGTTTCAAAGGAGCAAGATCCCTCCCACAGCCCCTACCCAGCAACCCCATGGAACTTGGATTTGTCAGCAAATTCAAGTTTCTTGAGCTCCAGCTTTAGGTCAGACACTGTTCTAGGCTCCAAGGATACTAAACAAGACAGACAAGATTCCTGCTTTCATGGAATTTGTGTTCTTGTGGGAACAGCAATAAGCAAGGAAATGAGAGCTTTTTATGATGTGCCTTGAAGAAAACGAAACCAATGATGTGGTGGCGAGTAACTGGATACTGATTTAGATTTATAGTCAGAGATGACTTTTCTGAGGGGGTGAGGTTGGTGTTGAAATTTGGATGATACCAAGGAGCCAGTCCAAGAAGGTTTGGAGGTAGATCATTTTCTTTCTTTTTTCTTTTTTTTTTTTTTTTGTGTGTGTTTTTGGTACTAAGGGTTGAACCCAGGGGCACCTTACCATTGTGCTACATCCCCAGCCCTTTTTGACTTTGAGACAAGGTCTTACTAAGTTGCTGAGACTGGTCTCGAACTTGTAATCATCCTGAATTGCTAGGATTACCCGTGTGTATCAGTGTACCCGGCAGGAGTTAGAGCATTTTCAAGGAAGCAGCAGCCAATATGAGGCCTTCAGTCTGACAGATTGGGTATATTCAGAATCTTGATGTGGCTGACTGGAACCTTCCTGTTCCAAGGGAGAGCGTGGGAGAAGATAGATCAGAGAAGTAGGCACTACCAGACCTTGGGACCTCAGAACCTTGGGCTCTTTTGAGGGTGGTGGGGATGTTCTGGAGGTTGAACCCAGAGCCCCTCATACTTGCTAAGCATGTGCTCCACTACTGAGTACCCAGGGTCCTGGTCCTCATATTCTAATCCAAATACAGTATAATGATGTTAAAGGCTTTTAATTGGAAATGACGTGTTCTGTTTTATGTTTTAAAAAGATAACATCAGGTACTTTGTGGAGAATAGATTTTATGGGAAGGGTGGAGGCCATTTGATCAGTTAGAAACTCTGATAGGATCCAAGTGAGGGATGACTGAGTTGACCTGGGTGGTGATAGACAATATTGTTTTCTACCCAGAGATTCCCACATCTATTCTTTCTTATCTGCCACTTCTCCCTGTCAGAATTAGCAGCAGTATTCTCAGAAGCCCTCTTCCTGTCCCTGCCTCTGTTCTCCCTCGACTCACCCCTCCCCACCTTACTAAGGCACATAAATCATTGAATCCCCTTCCTCTTCCTTCTTGTCTTCTGTAGGACCAGCTGCTCTTCTGTGATGACTGTGACCGTGGCTACCACATGTACTGTCTCACCCCATCTATGTCTGAGCCTCCTGAAGGTAGGCAGTAAGATATTTTATTCAGAAAAATCATTTTATTAGTAACTTTAAAAAATCACCTGTATAGTAAATACTGAGTTCTGTTTCTTTATGTTATTAGTTATTTATTCTTCCAAGTTAAGAAGTAAGGAACTTTGCCATGACTGAGTTCAGGATGTTTTCCTAGCATTTCAGCCTGAATGGTTTAATGTTTGAACATTATCATCAGTTACATTTACAAATAGCAACCCATGAGAAAACAGCTGATCAGAAAATAGTCACCCAGAAGGGGAGCTTGGTCTTCCAGCTAGTCCAGAAATTGAGTTGGTAGCTTGTCTAATGTGAAGCTTTTCTTTCATCTCTCTGAACTTGACAGATTTGAGTGTTTGCTCCCCCCTCCCCCAGTAGTTTATTTTAATAATGCTCCAAGTTTAATGTTTAATAATGTTGAGAGTTTATGTAAGCTCCTCACTGAAACTAGTGGCCCTAAGAAGCAGCTACTTTTCCACTAGTCCCCCTCCAGCAGGATTTCTGTGCCTAAACCACCACCTATGTAGAAATTCAGGAGCTTACTGAGAAAAACACTACTGCCCAGTAGCTGCACTGTGCACAGAGGATGGGAGCCAGCATATAGGCAGTAGAAGTGGTTCACTGTGTGCTGAAAGCAAACTTATAGGTCAAACTGCTGTCACTTTATAGAAAATGAGGCTACTAAGAGTCCTTTAGTAGTGCAGGGGAGCATTCAGCTGCAGCCATGCCTAGTTTATAAATTGACTTGGGAGGAAGTAGTGTTTTTTGTTTTGTTTTGTTTTGTTTTAGGAATAGATGGACACAACACAATGCCTTTATTTTTATATGGTTCTGAGGATTGAACCCAGGTCCCACCTGTGCTAGGCGAGCGCTGTACTGCTGAGCCACAATCCCAGCCCCTGTTTTGTTTTTTTAACCCATCAAATAACATATTTCAGATGAAGTTTGCATTAACCCCAAAAGGACTTTCCCATTGACACCAGGTAGTGGAGAGCTGCAGCTGAGTGTCCTCTGGAGTGTCCAGGCCACTGAGTGACAACTCTGAAGGACACATACCCCCAAGCCCCTA